GGGTGTGTTCGCAGGGGGGAGGCGACCCCCACGCAGCAAACCAATCAATCAATCAATCAAGGAATTTTATTTTATTTTTTCGTTTTTTTTTTTAATTTTGTTTTACGATCAATCAACCAACCAACCAACCAACCAACCAACCAACCAATCAATCAATCAATCAATCAATCAACCAATCAATCAATCAATCAATCAACCAATCAATCGATCAATCAATCAATCAATCAATCAGTCAATCAATCAACCAATTATTCAATCAATCAATCTTTTTCTTTTTTTTTTTCTTTTTTTTTTCACCTTGATTCCCCAACTAAAAACAAAAAACATCTTTTTTTTTATATATTTTTTTATTTTTTTATGGGGGAGTATGCCCCGACACCCGACCCCCCCCCAGCCCATTCACCCCCTCAACCCCCCCCCCGGAAGGCCACGTACGGGGGGCCCGAAGTCCATACGTACGGCCCGTACCGGGGCCCGGGGCCCGGGGCCCGTACGTACGGCCGTACGGGAGTACGTACGGGCCGTATAAACTGTTTATTTGTGTGTACAGGCATTTGTTGAAGAGTGCTAGGTAGCCAAATCGTGCACAAACATTCATATAGGGCACTGGATAGCTGAGCTGTCCACTCGCTCACAGACGAAAGACCGAGGATTCGAGGAATGCAGTCGCTTGAGTACATGCTTCAAGGTCCACTTTTTGTTCCTTTTTTCTATTCGGTTGTGAAGGATACCAAAACCCCCGTGAATCTATCAACATGCAAATATGCCAGCAGTTTATCGCAATTTTGACCATAGCCCAGGGTCCTACGAAGAGCAAGCGCCTCCTATGGCTTGGGAGAAGATGAATTTATTTTGGAAGTGGATAATAGAGGAGGTCATGCGTACCCATCACTATTGGCGATAAACTCTTTTTTTTGGGGGGGGAGTGAGGGCATTAAAAAGTGTCGAGGTCGATATGGAGACGTGAATGTAATGACGTGATCATACTAAGGCGCAACACTTGGTAAGTCTATAGTCATATGCCTTTAAGAACGGAACGGGTGAGGAGAATTGATCCCTTCCTTGAGTTTTATGAAGAGTAATGCAAGTACTATGCACACCTTGAGGAAGACTTGTGCAGTGGTGTCATCTTATAAAGTAGTAGGAGGATCAAGCTTGAAGGACAAACACTTGAAGATGTGGATGCACAACTTTTATGGATTGAGTGGAGAGCAGCCGGAGCTTCTGGTTGGTGGTGTTCACGAAGGAACTTGAAGAGGCCGGTCTTGAAACAGGTCATTACTCTAGGATAGTAGGATAGTTTTTCACCCTTGGTTGGATGTGTGACAATTCAAACCTCACGCCCTGTGATGTCTCATGGTCGGAGTGATTAAAAATGTGGAACAGGCCCTGGACAAACAACAAAATGGGGTGTGCCAAAATTTTTTGGAAAATTGAGTGTGGGGACACAGATGGAACTGAACCCCCCCGTGTGGCTCCAGTTTTAGTGAGAAATGGCCGTTGCCGCTGGGGAAACAAATAGAGCGTACGACTTTCAAACGTTTGTTTAATCCAAACGTATCTCTGAACTTCCATGCGGGCTGCTCGACGTCTTTTCAAATGAAAAGGCGGGGGTACGCACGTGGGATCTCGTTTTCGAATTAAGTCTCGGCGCCAATCGTTACAGAGCTCAGAATCCAATGTGGACGACCTTAGCCTGATCGCCCTTTCCTTGTGTTCGTCCTCGCCACGTCCCCGGTAGTGGAACCCCTTTTCCCGATAACGCTCGGTGCGGTGGCAATCGCTATACAAAGTGTTGGGCCAATGAGGTGCCACCACCGTCCATAGGATGACAATCAATTCGTTAAAAGGCGATAATAAGGAGTATCGTGGAAAGTGAGTATCAACAATGACAAAACAACGCCTATGAATCTTGAACACCATGTTTCAAGAGGAAAGTAGTAGTGCCCTCTGATCTTTGCGACAACTTCTCGTACGTCCCACTCACATACACCGTGACGTGTCCTTTCCTCGTGATACGGGAACGAGCGCGGTGGGGATACAGGAAGTCTGCGTCCAATCGGATTGGTATAATTGGTCCACATGATATAAGCATGGCCGATTGTGTATGTCTACTCAATTTGTTATTCGATCGAAGGAGTAAACAGGCACAACGTTAGGTTCTCATTACCCTTCGCCCACAGTACAGGTGGATCCGAGGCGTGAGTTTATGCAACCTGATCCAATAAAGAAGACAACCATCATTCATTCGCGAGCAAAGAAATACAGTTGAGCATACATTGAAATAATCATAACAGAATCCTTATTCAATCACATGTCATTGATCAAAGCAACAACTCAATCGATGCATACATAAAGATGCTTTGCACTTGATGTGTTTTGATTTTCCTATGAGTTTGCCCAACGAGTTGCGACCATCGAAGACAAGTGAGGATACAAGATCACTCATGCATAACCATCGTATACAAAGAAGCAAAAAGAGGGACTTGGCAAGAACACCCGAGCTCGCTGGTTTCTCAAACTCAACGATACTTGTCCTCGCTAGATCTAATCGAATTGAACGAGACAAGCGAGACATGACCTCAAGAATTGATAGAGGCCAGGGAGTCGGCAAAATATTCAGTCATTCATAAAGAAAATATTGGAAAGAGAGAGAGAGAGGAAGAGAGACAGAGTTGTAGCTTGATCGAAGAAGAGAACTAAGAATAAAAATGACTTAATATGAGCACAAAAGAAGATCCGAGAAAACAAAACGGCAATCCGCCATGGAGTTAGCTTCCAAAATAAGAGGAGGAACCAAAGATCAAGGCGCACAAGTTTTCTGCTCTCAGATCATGACCCTGAACCATGCAACCACTCGTACGCACACACCTTCCTTATCCAGGTACTAGCGACTCCGACCGCCACATACCAACCACCATACATGTGTATAAGAGACAGACCCTGAACCATGCAACCACTCGTACGCACACACCTTCCTTATCCAGGTACTAGCGACTCCGACCGCCACATACCAACCACCATACCACAACGATCTTCACCCCGCGAACTCAACTTCTACACCGACTTGCCCGGATCCCGCAGTCCGTCGTGACCACCCGACGCACAACCTTGCAAAGTTATACTCACCTCATCAAGACTTTTCGACTCCCCGTATATACACGTCATGTAGCCACGACTTCTCTTAAATTGGCAGATGGGTTGAGAGAGAGTTTTTCGGATGCGCTTACGAAATTTATAGTTGCAAAGGAGGAAATAAAACATGACAAAGAATGGGGCGTGGGTAGTCGAGAGTGATGAGAAAATAAGGGTTAATCGCCCGGGGAAAACCATATTGATCCCCTCAAGTTCTCTCACAGCCAATCAGATCACTGCATGAGGGGATTAATTCATCTTACA